CCCCCCCCTCCCCTTTTAAAACCCCGAAAATTTTCCTTTTTTGGGGGTTTTGGGGCCCTTTTTTGGGGCCCCCCCCCCCCCCCCCCCCCCCCCCACTGTGGTCTTCTTCTTCCTGAGCTGAGCAGCCTTTGCTCTTTGCTCGTAAAGAAGCAGAAGAAGAAGAAGAAGAAGAAGAAGAGGAGGGAGAAATACGATCGAGACAACAAACACTGGAAAATGACACTTCTCTCCGCCTTTTCTGACCGTGCATGACCTGATGGCCGATAGTTTTTCGTCGGGAATGCGCCAGTTCACCCGCATATCTACGAGTATGGATTGTGCCAAGGCTGAGAACCGTTTGCACAAGCCCCTGTCTTGCCCCCCTGCCCCATATACTGACTTGGCATCATGATTGGGTAGAAATGGTCACATTTGTCTCAGTGTCCTTGACAAAGAATGGTTAGGCCGGTGCTGCTTTGTTGAACACAAAAGGTTCCGCGCCCTTCCCCCTCTTCCCTTCGCGGCGCTGGTCGCCAACCTAAACCAAATTGCTGTTGTCGCACGCCTTCAGGTCACCGGCTTTGACCGTCAACTCACTGTGTCTCTCCATCCTGAGCATGCTAAGTTCCTGCGCTCTCAAGGTCGGTTTTCAGATTCAAAGAACAGCAAGTTTAGAAAAGAAGGCTTGCCTTGAGATGGGCCATAATCGGCTGGCAGAGCGTCATCTTTCCTCTGCTTTCCTTGACTCAGGAGCGGCCACCCGATAACGATCAATACATGGCTCGCTGGCAGACATCAAAGTATGCACCGTTCGGACCTGCAGCCTGCTCCTGTCCAGTCGCACCACAGTGTCCAGCTTCCGTCCCAATCTCACCCCTAACCTCGTGCCATATGCCTCGTGCTTACATCCTTGCTTTTTTGAAATCATGGCGTCAAGGTTTGGCCCAAAGTCAACTTCCTGGCATTTTCATGGTAAGCGAACAGCATGCGCCTGGAACCTACCACTCCCACTTCAAAAGCACAAGGATGTTCTCGTTGCCGTGTACCTTGGTGGTTAAAGTTTGCTTTATTATTTTTTTTTTTTTGGCACGACATGATAGATGACAAAGTTTAAAAGCCAAAAGTAAATCAACCGGCGCAACGCCAAATTGTCCAAAATTGGCCCTCTTGACAAACTTGCTGTCCTGCGCCTTTGCATGTTTTCTGGAGTACTCGTTCCTTTTGACGCAGACACGTCCTAAACTGTGTGGCTCCTCTTATGTATCTTGTGCCGTGTAGCATCAGTCATATTAGTTCAATTTCTGATCTGTCACTTGCGTCTGGTCAAAATTAATAAAAAAAAAAAAAAAGAGATGAGAAAGATAGAATGGAGGGTTAGCATTACCATGTCAAGCATGGTCCGAATCAAACATTTACGCGGCAAAAGTCTCATAACGTCATCCAGGGACCTCAATCACCAGCAGAAAAAAAGAGCCAGTGTCTCGAATCACAACAGCCTCTTCAGGCCCAGACACACAGTAAGCAATGCATGAGCGTGAACCTGTGGCTCTTGTGCTTGCTGCTCAGTCCCATCCTAGGGCTCAGTCTCAGCTAAAGCCTCCTGGGGTTCGTGAGCTGTTGACTCCTGGGGCTCATTCTGAGGCTCCGCTTCAGCTGTTGGCTCCTGGGGCTCGGGATCAGTCTCAGCTGGTGTCTCTTGACGCGGCTCATCCTGGGGCTCAGACTCGGCTAGTGTCTCTTGGGGCTCAGCCTCAGCTGCATCAGACTCCTGAAGCTCAGGCTCAGCCGGTGTCTCTTGAGGCTCAGTCTCAGCTGCCTGAAGCTCAGACTCGGCTGGTGTCTCTTGAGGCTCAACCTGAGCTGCATCAGACTCCTGGAGCTCTTCCTCAGCTGGTGTCTCTTGAGGCTCAACCTGAAGCTCAGGCTCAGTTGGTGTCTCTTGAGGCTCAGTCTCAGCTGCCTGAGGCTCAGTCTCAGCTGGTGTCTTTTGGGGCTCAGACTCAGCTGCATCAGACTCCTGGAGCTCTTCCTCAGCTGGTGTCTCTTGAGGCTCAACCTGAGGCTCAGTCTCAGCTGGTGTCTTTTGGGGCTCAGACTCAGCTGCATCAGACTCCTGGAGCTCTTCCTCAGCTGGTGTCTTTTGGGGCTCAACCTGAGGCTCAGTCTCAGCTGGTGTCTTTTGGGGCTCAGACTCAGCTGCATCAGACTCCTGGAGCTCTTCCTCAGCTGGTGTCTCTTGAGGCTCAACCTGAGGCTCAGTCTCAGCTGGTGTCTTTTGGGGCTCAGACTCAGCTGCATCAGACTCCTGGAGCTCTTCCTCAGCTGGTGTCTTTTGGGGCTCAGACTCAGCTGTATCAGACTCCTGGAGCTCTTCCTCAGCTGGTGTCTCTTGAGGCTCAACCTGAGGCTCAGTCTCAGCTGGTGTCTTTTGGGGCTCAGACTCAGCTGCATCAGACTCCTGGAGCTCTTCCTCAGCTGGTGTCTCTTGAGGCTCAACCTGAAGCTCAGGCTCAGTTGGTGTCTCTTGAGGCTCAGTCTCAGCTGCCTGAGGCTCAGTCTCAGCTCCTGTCTCTTGAGATTCAGCCTGAAGCTCAGCCTCAGCTGGTGTCTCTTGAGGCTCAGACTCAGCTGCCTGAAGCTCAGTCTCAGTCGGTGTCTCTTGAGGCTCAGCCTGAAGTTCAGCCTCAGCTGGTGTCTCTTGAGATTCAGCCTGAAGTTCAGCCTCAGCTGGTGTCTTTTGAGGTTCAGTTGTTGGCTCCTGATATTGAATCTTAACTGGTGGCTCCTGGGGCTCAGTCTCAGCTGCATCAGACTCCAGAAGCTCAGACTCAGCTGGTGTCTCTTGAGGCACAACCTGAAGTTCGGCCGGTGTCTCTTGAGGCTCAGTCTCAGCTGCCTGAAGCCCAGTCTCAGCTGGTGTCTCTTGAGGCTCCGCCTCAATTGGCGTTTCCTTGGGCTCATCCTGAAGTTCAGCCTCAGTCGGGGTCTCCTGAATCCGATCCTGAGGTTCAGACTCAGCTGCATCAGACTCCTGAAGCTCAGACTCAGCCTCAACTTGCGGCACCTGCTCAGTCTGAGGTTCCAGTGCAGATTGCGCCTCACTTTCTCGTTGAGCTTGACACGCTTCATCAGTGAGTGGTTTTTCCATTGCCCTTTGGGTCTCCGGCAGCTCATCAACCTGCTGTTGATTTTCTTCTGATGGGGCGTCGGCTGGTGAAATCTCCTTGGGCAGCTGCGCTAGCTCAGCTGGCAACGTCCGATCATTTGCTTTCATAAAGACTGATTCTGCTACTGGCGATGCCTCGGCCGTCAGCCCTGAGTGTTTTTCAGGAGGCGGGCCTACAAGCGAGCGGCGATGCTGGCTAGCAGCGCTGCTACGCGAGGCGTTCCAAAGCGGGACGGTAACATCGTGCGTGCCTCCTAAACTAAAATGAGCTTGTGTAATTTCTGGAGTCGGCAATTCGCTTCCCAGAGCAATGTCCCAAGCACTCTGACGTGGCCCGGGCAGGCGCAATTGTGTGTTATGCCAAGGGTGGGGCTCAGGTTGAGTGGTCATGTCGCCGTCATTGGCTCCGGTAAGCCCTGAGGGGACAGCATTCAAGACACCCCGGCGCTCATGCAAGGGGGACTGCATAGCAAGCCAACCAGTGATGTCTTCCTGGTCCGTGGTGCCCAAAAGCACATCGCTCGTAGTCAGCTCGGCCATGAGTGCATGGGGCAGAGCCTCCTCTTGACCGCTGGCGTCCCACTGCATTGGGGTGGTGAGGGTCATGGATGGTGGTGCCTGCGAGTCGTCGAGAGGATCACTTTCACTGGCACCGGCAAGCGCGGCAAGCGCTGGGGCACCATCCTCAGTCGCTGGCTCATAGGACATGGATGAGAGCGTCTTGTCGTTTGAAGTGAGGTCGTCGTCACTGGGTCCGGCCAGCATGGTGACTGGATGGGTTTGGAGCATGCTGAGCGCTTGTGGTGATGTATGGCTGTCGCCTTCCAAAAATGGCAGTGATGGTGACAGAGTGTTCGCCAGAGTCGGAGAAGCGATCCACACCATGTGACTGATGAGCGAGGGGAAAGTGTGACTCAAGTGTGCGTACGCCGCCGCCCCTTCGTCCTCATCTGCAAGAGCCGAGGTGGCGAGCGGGACAGCAGCTTCATTGACAGCAGCTTCATTGACAGCAGCTTCATTGACAGCAGCAAGGGGCGTGATTTCTGGGGTAGGACCGACAGTGGTCTGAGGGCGCGGGCTGAGAGCGAGCGAGGCTATGGCGCTATCCATCGTCAAGCTGGCAGAGCGCCAGCCATGTGCAGACCCGGCTTCTGGAGGAACATGCACTAGACTACCGCGCCGTGAGGCCAACGCACTGGCTGGAGCCGAGGAGGAGAGCGTGCGCACCGCCACGTGAGGGCCCTCCATCGCGATTTGCAGGGCCGCCATAGTCTGGCGCCGAGAGAGCATGAAACGGGATCCCTCCAGCATCGCGATATCGGCATAGGCACCAGAAACGGATGATGGTCGTTGAAGCGGAGTTGGGAGAGGGACAGACAGTGCCTGTGGGCTACGCTGTGCGCCTGCCGAAGACATCCAAGGTTCCGTTGCGCGGCGCGCAGAAAATTGGTTGGACAGCATGGCGGGCAGGATGCGGATCAAAGCCGAAGCATCGGCAGTTAGCGTTGAAGGTGTGGGGTCTTTTGCCGTCATCTGCACAGAGGGCCGGGGGGCAGGTGCATGCGGCGGCCGTGGAGACAAGGTGGCTGGGGTTTCCAGCACAGCGTGGCTGGCGTCATTTTTCGCCTGGGATTCTTCGGTCTCAGTGGGGACTGACGGTGCAGCGGGGGCGTAGCGCCGGCCGCGGGCAGCAACGGCGCGGTAAGGGCTATGGGCATCAGCGGCGGCAGGGGGCGGTTTAGGGGACAGGGGCGCAGTTTCAAGTTCGGGGTCAGGGGCTTTGGATGTGGAAGCGTGGGCCAGGGTGGCCGCAGCCAGGGCCACCAGGTCATTCTGAAAAAATGTGGGTTTGGGCGAGGCTGGGTGCATTGCTGAGGTGTCACTGCCTGCAGAGGATTGGGCGTGGGTGATCAGCGAACTGGCAGCGGAGTCCCGCCGGACGCGCGCGGCGATATCATCCAGGTTCAAATCAAGAGCCAATTCGGGCGGGACCATAGGGTTGGTCGCCTGGGCATCAGCGCCGCTATCTGCGTCATCACTGGTACTTGGTGCGCGCAGCAGTTGTGGGTCCTGGAAGCGCTCAACATTGCCATGTGTATCAGAGGCAAAGGCGCTGTTGTCATCTTCGTCAGCACTGGGCGGAGCAAGGCCTGACTGAGCAAGGTCTTGGTTGGTATCGGGCTCGTAAGCGGAATCATCGAGGCTTTCGCGGAGGCTGCCGTTTGGACCTTGCCGCCGGGCAATCTTTTGGTCAAGGACTGCCGCTTGGGCCAGCCAAGTGGCCTTACGAATGTGCTCGATGGGTTGGTGGAGGTTGTCAAGGGCGGCATGGGCACCGGCCACGAGGGTCTGATCGAGGCCGGCGTGTTGCAGGCGCTCGAGCTGCTGGCGAATCTGCATTTCGCGGGCGAGAATGGTGGCTGAGCGTGCCTCGACTGCTTCCGGGGTGGGCTCGACTCCGTTTTGTCGAGGCGGGGGATGGCGTGCGGCCTCTTGAAGACGATCGATTTCGATTTGTAAGCGAATACGCTCTTCCATCTGTGCAAGATCAATCAAGAAAGGTAAGGTGCCATTTGCTGCCTGGCCCCCCTTTTTTTTGATTTGTAAAAAGTTTTGCACGGGCATGGCTGCCGGCAGGAGGTCCGTGAGGTGGGGTTTGGAGAACGAATGCGAGGCGTATGCAAACCTTTTTCCGTCGGGCACGCTTGTCAGCGCGTTGGCGACGTTCGTCGGCGCGCTTTTCCGACCATTCCACGAGAGGAGGCACTTTCAGGCCACGAGTGGAAGGACGATCAGTGGCGGACCGGCCGGAAGGGTTGCCTTCCGCGGCAGCGGCTAGTCGGGCAAGGCGGGCCCGGTTCTTGGCTTCAAGCTTGGCCTCGAGCTTGCGATCAGGCTGTGCATCTTTGCGGTGTTGCTGAGTTCCATCACGGCGTTGAGGCAATGTGCGCTGTGAGGGCTATGACCCGTCCGGTCTCGTGAGAAGGGGCGGGGGCGGGCACGTGCGCGAGATGAACCTCAAAGCTGGCGGCAAAAACGGAGGTTGCAGGGGCACGATGAGAGGTGGCGGCGGAAGCAGCTCCAGAGCCCGGTGTATCCAGCCCAGTGCCCAACTCGACAGGCGTTGGTCGCTGGACGGGGCGGCGTCCGCGATAATGGGCTTTGGGCAGTTTTTTTGGTGGGGCCGGTTGATCCCTGGAGAAGCAGTGCGCCAGGCGGTCCGCAAAAACGCATGGGTAAATGAGGCAGGTCATGGGCAGAGGCAGAGGCAGAGGCAGAGGTCGGAAGGGGGAAGGGAGGAGTGAGGAGAAGAAGGCGGAGGTGATGATGGACAAGGGAGACCAAGACCCCAAACAAAAGTTGGGGCAATAACAGTGGTCCAAGGGCCAGGGCACGAGCACAACAGCCGTCAAACTGAACACGGGGAATCGGCAAGCAGCAGACATGGCAGCAGTCAAGTTTGATGTACCGCACCGCAGGACCAATGAGGGCGTGTTGTGTGTGTGTGTGTGTGTGTGCAGGGAGGCCGAGCTGGCGTATCGACAGCCCAAGGTCGGTGGAAAAAAAAAGAAGCAGAAATCAAATAAACACAGACATGACAGCGAGGCATGGTAGAGGCAGGCATGGCAGAAGCGGCGCATGTCAAGGCATTGCGCCGCTGCCAAAGCTGCCAGCCGATGCACCAACCTCATGGTGTCGAGACCGAGAGAGCAGCGAGGACAGGCGGAGCTGGTAAGAAAGGTCTTGACCAGAAGTCCTCAACCATTCACTGGCGTCCAGGTTCCAAACACCTTGACCATCAAACTCTCTATGTTCTATGTTCGCTGCCCCCCGCCTGTAGCATACCCATCCGCCCGTTCTCCCTCCGGCTGCCGTTTCTCCCGCCTCCGTCGTCTCAGATGATGTCGCCGCGCAGAGAGAGAGAGAGAGAGAAAAAACTCGTTGCCAAACAAAATCACAAGTTTTGATTTATTTTACGGAGATGGTGTTGAGATTGTGGTATGTGTGGCAGTTTGGAGAGGGTTGTTAAGTAGAGAGAGAGAGAGAGAGGAGAGAGAGAGAGAGCTCAAGAGAGCTCAAGAGAGAGAGAGAGTGAGAGCTCAAAAGAGAGAGAGTGAGAGCTCAAGAGAGAGAGCTCTCAAGACTCCCCGTTTCAAAAAAAGAGGGTACTTTTATGTTTTAGTATTAGGGCGGTGCACACTGGACACATCGACCGAGACCGAGACCGGGACCGAGACCGGGGACCGGGGACCGGGGACCGGGGACGGACGGACGGCGGCGGGTACGTGATGCGTGTGGGATGCGTGTGGGATGCGTGTGAGGGTGTCTTTGGCGTGTGCTTGTTTGGTTGTGGCAGGTGGCAAGGTGGTGGCTCGGTTGGTTGTGGGAGGGGTTGGCAGTGGGTGAGGGTGAATGCAATGACGAGAGGGAGGAAGAAGAGGCAGACAGCGATTTGGCAATCATTCCTCAGGTGCAACTCAACGTCACTCGCGGGCTCGCCGCTTCGAATACCCTCACTTCCATTCTTGCTGGTGTTTCAGGCAGCTTGCTGCCTTGTTCTAGCGTCGCCGTGTCTGCCTTCACGTCACAGCCGCGGCGATCAGCCCCCAGGCTCTGAGCCTGGCTTTTACCCATCTGGCTCCTCTTTTTTTTTTTTCTTGGCTTTGTGTGTGGCCCACCCTCAGCGTTAAGCCAGCACCACCAGGATCGTTTGAATGGATGATTGTTTCGTTGTGGGAACGGCCTTGCAGTAACCTGCCGGATCAGGCCTGCATTTCGCTTCCTCCACCCCACTCTTGAGTTTTTGTTTGTGCTCGGGATCGGCAGCATGGCCAGTCCAGGCAATGGCACCGGCCCGCACAAGGCCACCGTGCGCAAACACGCCGCGCTCCGGCGCCACCTCAGCCTTTCCAATTCGCTACAAGACTCCTCCGAAACAGAGCCTCCCATTCTTTTGCGCAACGGTACCGACCGATCAGGTCCAAACACCAACTCCCCCTCTGGCAAGCGCGACAATAACAGGAGACAAGAGACCAAAACCCGCCGCGGCAAGAGCGCAGCCAGCCAAAACAGTGCTACAGAGGCGGCGTCACGCAACCATTCAAGCAGCCAGGGACAGAGTCGGAGCAGTGGTGCCCCCACATCTGCTGCAGCCAGCATCCTGGACTTTAGTGAGCCTGACGTCGAACTCGTTCACCGCCGCAGCACCCTGACCTTGAGTGAGCGCCCCACCCACTCGCACACCTCCAACGAGCCTGACACCATCAGTCCTCCGACCACACCCAACAGCGCAGCCAGCGTCAACGGCAATGCCAGCAACGCACTTGCGCACGTGGAACGCCGCCGTACCGCATCCACCTCTCGAGACCTCGGCAATCGTCGCCCTTCTCGCCTGCGTACCCGCAGCTTTGCTGCCATCACAATTCACGAAGATGCGGAGCTCGCCGAGCGTGTAAATGCTCCTCCCTTTGAAGATATTCTTCTTCAGCTTCTATCCCGGCTGCGTGAGGAAGCCCTTCTTGCCGATCTCATCACGGCCACTGAAAACGACTTCCAACTTGTCCGCATTCCTCGTCAGCGCCGGACAGAAGAACCGCCTCTCAACGAAAAGGCCATTGCCGCGGTCCGGGATCTCTTTGCCCGCCAATGTCTGGCATTTTACGCCTCCAAATGGCACGTCGTTCGGCCGACCAGTCGCACCAAATCTCAAGGCACCAGCGAATCTGTTCACCGGTAAGAAACCCCCACGCAATCCTTCGTTACCCATCGCCTCAGTGTTTATACAATACTCTGCAAGCTTACCATACCACCGCACGGCTGATCGCCCTCGGCCAGTATCTCGGAGCCGCTTCCTCAGCTCATTTCCGAAGTGGACCTCGATGACACTCAAGCGCAAGGCCTGGTGAGTCTGCTTCTTCCCTACCCGGGCCTCACACCAACCAACTCCAACTCCAACTCCCGACTCAAAACCATCCATCAAAATATGGGCATGTCCACTACAAATTGCAATCTGACCAAACAATGCAACGGTGTCTAGGGTGAACTGGCAGAATCCATTCAGTCCTCGCGCGTCTTTGGCACCGACCCCATCCTTCGTGCCTGGTGCAGCTGCCTCAAAACCACCCCAAGCGTCTCTGATGATCCCGTCTCACCCCTCAGCCCCGCCCCCAAGCTCTTATCTTCCAAAAAGGCAAGCCACTCAGATCGCGATTGCTTCGCATTGTCTCAATCACACAGATCCTGGCGCTCGTCTCCTGTTGGCGCTTTTTCCTGATTGCATCTTCATGCACTGATTCTTAGGACTCGGCCGCCAACCTGATTCAAACCAAAGTGCGGAAACGATATCTCGTTTTCCGCTACCAGACCAAACAAGGACCACCTGTCCTTGAGGTTTTCAAAAGCGAGCAGCTTACAGGCAGCTCTGATACCGTGCCTCTGGCCGATCCTGACACTTTGAGCGTATGTTTTTCTCCCAGGCGGGCTCCTGCTTTGAAGCATGGCGCGACTTGGCATCTTACATCCAGCACATCTCAACACGGATGCGCTCTCATCTATTCTAGATGGAGGGCGACACCGGATTTCGCGTGCAAACAGCCAACTGGGCTTATCTCTTCCACCTGGAAAATGCCGATGCCTGTCAGCACTGGTTTGACACCATGTCACAAAAGGTACGTACGCGTTTGGAAGTGTGTTTCGTTCATGGCCCTTGCCAGAGGCCGTGCTCTCCATGCCGGTTTTTTTTTGTTTGAGTGCCGGTGCATATTCTAATCCTTGTCAACCTGAGCGCATTTTACAGCTTGCCGAGTGGCGACGCATTGATGTCATCAAGGCCGAGTCCACAGACAAACCCAAACCATTGCAGCAAACCAAAATGTATGTGTGGTCTTGAGCTGCACCCCAACGTTGACTCAGCCATGTGGCCCAAGCATCGTTGTTGAGGAACACGGCGGCAAACTCATGTGCATGTTTGCGCCATTTTGCACGCCAACGTCCGACAGGCCGTTGGCTGAGGTTTTGAAGCGAGCCATGCGCACGCTGGATGGCACACTGTTCTCAGCCACGACTTCGAAGAAATGCGACGAAGCTCGCAGTGATCTAATGGCCGTGTATCATCGTGCGTGTGCGCCCCGCCCTTCCGCCATGCTGGACCGTGCCTTTTTGTCACAGAAGCGAATGAACTTCTATCAGCACTCATCACCGTTCTTTTTTTCTTTCATCTTCTCCGTCCCGCTGTATGGCCATGGCGTCGACCGAGCAGGTGCCGATGCCGAGGCGGCGACCACTAGTCCAGAAGCGGTGCCGTTTATGAAAGAAAATTTCGGTCGACGCTTTGTGGTGACCTGCAACTCATTACATTTTGACCTGGCCGTCACTGTCGGAGGAGCCACCACCAACGTATGCTTGCGCACTCTGGGCATCATGTACTCTTGGCTGGTCAATTCTCTTAGGGTTTCATGGTTCGAGGCAGAGCATCAGCGTAAATCGTGCTGACAACGTTTATTCAACTTGCCGCCCTGCTTGTCTTGCATGAATTCGATAGCCGGAGCCTTACTTTTGCGCCTTGTATCTTGTGAATCTGGACGACCATGACGACGGGGACGGCCTCCTCAGCGAACGTTTCTGGTTTCAGCTCAATAAAAGCACCATGGTCAGTACGCCAACCATCGTCCTCCAGCCCCCCTGCTGACCCGGTGATATCACATGCAACGGGCCCCTGCTTCACTCTTTCTTGGCGCCTTTGAGGGGAATGTGTGTGTGTGTGTGTGTGTGTGTGTGTGTGTGTGCGTGCGTGCGTGTGTTTGGCACAAATCATGATCTATTGTGTCCACCTCTGCTTTCCAGGGCTACTGCCACTTGGATCTGAGCAAGACCAGTCTGGAAAACCAAGCCCGCCAAGCGGTCTTTAGCGTACACCAATCTGCAAAACGCGTCTTTCTCGTCTTGACCATTGAAACAGCGCTGCAAGCTGAGAATCCGGTCGTTGCCTATACAAAGGTATCGCCCACGCCCCCACCTAATGAGACGAACCCAAAAGCTTCTTTTCACAAATGTTTGGCCCATGCATTCACGCGCTCTTGTGCATGCGATCACCGTGCCATCGCTCGTTGCAGAAGCAAAATGCGGATCGCTACGCTCAAGCAGCCGCCGAGGCACTGCAAAAGCAGCCCGAGGCTCGCATGCCCATGGCATGGGCCTGCCGCCCTGTGTTCAAAGCTAACGGTGATCTGGACGAGGCCTCGGCTTTTAGTCCTCTCTTTCGATATGACACGGACACCATGACCGCACACGGCATGCGACGTGCGGTGACCGAGTATGAGGATAAGGCCATTATGCGCAGCGCGCGAAGCAAGCTCCGATGGACGGAGTTACCCGGTGCCTTCGAGGCCAGCGTGAATAGTCTCGAAGCCACCTCGGACATGCCAACGGTCACGCCAAGCTTGCATCATGTCAAGCCCTTCAACCACGAGCAAACAGTACCCCCGCGTCGTGAGGTCATGACATTTTCTTACACTCCGGTACAAGCACCCCACTTGGACTGCATCAACATCCTGTATGTATACCCGGTCAGCATCAATCTTAGTACGCGCAAGCTGGACGTCAAGAGCAAGGGGCAAAACATTCTTTGCACCGTGCAACTCATGGAAACGGATGCCAACGGCTTGGATTCGGGCACCACGGGCACGCCTTGCGTCTTTGGGCGCCACCTCGAGTCCAACTTCACGACCGAGGGTCGGACACCCGTCCTCTGGCACAACAAAGCTCCAGTTTTCACGGGCGAGATCAAAATACAACTGCCTCCCCACATCACGACCCTCCAACATGTGCTTTTCACGTTCAGTCACGTGGCTGTCCGCTCTCGGCGACGCAAAGCCACGCAGGCGCTGGGGTATGCCTTCCTACCCCTCTCGCCGTCTGCTCGCCTTTTCAATAATCAGCAAGACCTCTTTGTGGCCTCGGCCAACACGCAGTACCCCAATCAAAAGATACTCCCGCCACACTATGCCACCAGCGGCATGTCCATTGATGCTTCGTCCGCTCAGAACGTCAAGTTTCTGGACCCTACTACACCTCAGTTTTCCGTGGCTACGCGCCTGGTATCGACCATCAGCACTGCCGATCGCATTTTGAGTCAATTCTTTGAATGCGCCGAACAAGTGGTTCGCACTGCCCTCATCCAGACGGACTTGAAGCTCAAGGCGGCCACGCAGGCCCTGGTTGGGGCTGGAGATGAGGCTCTCTTCCGCTTTCAACCTGTCATCTTCAACCAGCTGCTCAGCCTGCTTGTGCATGGCTCTAGCGATGAGACGGTGCCTCGTGAGGCGGTACGCACGCTTGTGATACTGGTGGACAAATTTCACACGGACATGCACACACCCCTTCCCTCCAACGAGCACAAAAATCAGGTTCTCGCTAGCTACGTTGAGCATGTGTTTGCCATCAAGGGAGAGAAGCACACGGTGCACGAGCAGCTGATCAAATATCTCATATACTTTCTCAAGAGCGTCGATAACGGCGTGGAAGACCGCTTTTACCGTCACGTTTGGTTCTTCTTTCGTTTGATTGCCAAAAGCGTGGCCCTTAACTGCGAAGTGGGCACCCCACGCTCGCAGCGCTTTGAGGCGGTACGATTACAGTCGGCAAGCAGCTTGCTGTTGCCTTCCTTTCCTTTCCTTTCCTTTTTTATTTTTTTTCCTAAATTTCCCTCCCCACACACACTCCCCTTTCATTCTCTCTCTTTCTCTGCCCCGCCCTTTTCCATGTCTTTTCATGTTGTGTGTGAGTGTGTGTGTGTGAGTGAGTGTGTGTGAGTGTGTGAGAGTGTCTTTTCATGTGCATGTTGTGGCTCATCCCGTTTGCCGGACTGCTCAACCCTATGCAGGGATTCTACGAAGATTGCCATCGACTCTACCTATTGGTCACAAATGCTTTGGTCGAGCTAGCCAGTGAACATCCGGCGCAGGCCATGCGCATGAATGTCAGTCTGGCCCTTTTCGTCACGAACCTTCTATCAACGGCGGATCGCGGGCCTTGCTTCAAGCTGATTCAAGCCTATCTCAATCACATCGATGAGTGTCAAGATCCCTCGGGACGTTTGGTGGGTGGTTGACCAGTCTTGCGAAGAGGAAGAGATAAGTGAGCCAGATGGTTTTTCAGCCCTCATTTCATATGCCCATGATCTGCCTGCCTCACTGCTGCTTTCGTGTCCGTGCTTTTAGGCTCAGTGCAAATTTGAGTACCTGCGCATCATCTGCGGCTACGAACACTACGTCGCACTCAATCTTCCTTTTGTCAAATCAGAGATGGACCAGGCACTGACTCCGCTTACGGATGACTTTCGCCAACGGCACTTTCTTGCCTACTGCATCATGTCCCATGTTGAGAAGGCACTTCAGGGCAACAACAAGTTTTTACGAGGCGAAGCTCTCGCTTGTTTTCGCAACCTGTTGGCCAGCCATGACACTGACCCTCGCTTCAAGACCCCGGCTCACAAGTCACGCGTTGCTTCGCTATACTTTCCCTTTGTCGTGATGGTGTTGACGATGCGATCACGCTTGCGGCCAGATGTTGATCCAAGCCAGGCCTTTGAGCCTCGCGAGAAGCAAGATATTTTTGCGTGTTTCCTTTGGATTCTCAAAAACTTTAACCACCGCGTTTTACAGCGGCATTGGCGCGAGGATGGTGTACCAGCAGATTTGCTGGTGGTGCTCGAGTATGCCCTGGATGTGTTTCAGTATCGGGGGCGGAAGGAGACGGTCAACACCATGCTTGCATCGCGCAGCCAGCAAGCCGTGCGCTCTTTAGCGGATCTATATTCACACGATGCTGCACGATTTTCCACACTACCCGGCGGCTCCATGTCCGTGAGCCGTGCATCCAAATTGCTCTCCACCGCCTCGCGCACCAGCTTCAACCTTGGCGAGCGCGCCCCAACGCCAGCGAGCAATCGCGACAGCACGCCCACTCCCTTGCAGCGCCAAAGTACCATGCCGGGCCGTCTGACAACCGCTGAGATGGAGGAGCGAGTCATGCTTCAGGCGCACTTGGCTGCTGAGAGCATGTTTGTCGTTATTGAGCTGCTGGAAATCATCTTTGGTTATGAACGCGCCATGTCTGCGAGCGGCGGGATCAACGAGAATTTTTCACGTGCTTTCGGGCTTTTGCTTCGCATGCTCATGCTGAATCCGCCAGATCGTCTGGTGCCCTCGCTCTTCTCGCTTATTGTGCGTGTAATCACTTACTACAAGCGCACCGTCTTCAACTCGAGCCTGTCCTACTGTCAAAAGCTGTGCGACCAGGTTTGTTTTCAACTCTGCCCCGTGCCGCATCGCACGCGAGGTGGGATTAGGGGGAAAACACATACACACACACGAAATAAAAAATATATATATGCAATGGAAGACCTCTTGTTTTTGTGCACTTGAGAGGGATGGCAACCTTATACGTGCTGTGACTATCTTCGGGTCTCGGTCGTAGATTTTGATCAACTGCAACAGCAATTTGCAAATGCTCCGATATCATGCCACCGTCTTGTTGTATGTCATGCTCGTGCATGGCCTCAACACCATGAACCACGTGCTGATGATGTCCATTTCAGGCCTGAGTGCCGATGTAAGTCAAAGTTCACACACGCCAAGCTTGGTTCAACGGCCAACGCAATCTTTGAACCTCGTTCTGTCCTGGGCGCCTCGCTGTCAAGCATGACTTCCTCTTGTACTGTTGCTCTGCTCTCTTTTTTTTCCAATCCGCAGACTCCAGGCAGCTGGCTGCGGCAGGCGCTGCTGGATGTCAAGAAGATATCTTCCCTTAATGAAGTACAGCCTCAAGTCAACTTTCAGCGTGACGTTGAGGATCTGCTTCAGCGGGCTCATACCGTGCTGGAGAGCACCGCCCACATGGCGGCCCATCAAGACGACCCTGAGATGTACCTCGACCATCATGTGAGAGATCCTCAAAAAATACTCGCACATTAGCAGCATTTTCGCGACACCTTTGCTAACTTCTTGACTTTTGGGTTGGGATACTGCAAACAGAGCAAGATTGCCGACTCGTACGCCGGTTCTCCTCAGCTGCGCGTGTCCTTTCTTCATCGGTAAGCCCTCGACACGTGTGTGTGTGTGTGTGTGTGTGTGTGTTTCGACTCATGTTCGTGACATTGCTTTGACTTTCGATGGGCGCTTTGACTGTTATAGCATGGCCAAGGAGCATGTGAAGATGGAACAATGGTCAGAGGCAGCCATGTGCGTGATCCACTGCGCCGCACTCACGGCCGAAGTCATCAAGGGCAACTCCAAGTACTTTTCTGGTGCGTCAGTCCTTCTTGTTACGGATTTCGCTTGCTTCACAGGCTGATCGTCAACGAAACCGACTCGATTAATGGCTTGCCTTGCGAACCCAGATGGGGCTGCTTGCTTTGTCAACATTTCCAAAAACACGATGCTCGAAAAAAGCATGGTGGAGGGGGCGCGGATCGAAAATTTGTTGCAAATCTCTGCGTTTTCCGATGCCAGTGCGTAGCTTGCGCTTACCAGTGGTATATCACGGCGTTTTTAACTGGCCGAAGCCGTGATTTGAAAGTACTCTGACCCATGTCCGCTTCTCTCGTGTTTTGTGCTCGTGTGTGCGTGTTGGACATTTGCACACACGTCGGACAGGCGTAGCCCATCAAGTGCGAGTGGCCATTCATCTCTTCAAGCGTGCCAGTCGCTTTGAATTGGTCAGGTGTGTTGACATACTCGAGCGCAGTTCTGCTCGAGTCGCGACTGCTCCAGCACGAGATGGCCTGAGCACACGCGCGATCCTTGATGCTTTGGTACTGTCCGAAATAGTCTGGCCTATCGCCACTTGTTGCCCATTATGGAGGATGGCAAGCGCTACGAAGATCTTGCCAAGGCCGCGCAAGACATGCTGACTTGCTACACCAAGGTGGCTGAGCTTCTCAAGTATGTTTTGCTCTGCATTCTGCGCAGCATCGCGTTTAGAGGCTGCGTGTTCCCATCCAATCCGGCAAAGCCTGGGGTTTGCATTTCCCAAGACACGAGCTTGTTGGCTTACAAGTGTATTCTGCACATCGTTTGCTTCTGGTGACAGAAATAACAAGCGTACCCTGGGCACGTACTATCGCGTGCTCTTCCTGGGAGCAGACTTTGCGCACATGAGGCAACGCGAGTTCATTTACAAGGAGCCAAATGTGACAGGCCTTTCGATCATTCGTGCGCGGCTGGAAGCTCTCTATCAGATGAAGGTCAAGAAACTGGTGGTGATTGATGACTCCCGCGACACGTCTCACATGCAACTGGAAGACGGCGTCTCATACATTCAGATCACCCACGTTCAACCGTACTTTGAAGACGAGAGCGTCGTGCGCTCCCATTTTGAGCAGCACCATGAAATTCGCGAGTTTGTGTATACCACCCCATTCACCAAATCGGGCAAGGCACGCTCGGACAACGTCAAGGAGCAATGGCTGCGCAAAACCGTGGTCGTTCTGGAACGCGGACTGAGCTTTCCCAGCATTCGCAAACGGTGAGCCATTTGCAACTCACCTGCTCTTTCTCGTGTGGCTAATCGTGCAGTCATGCTCGCGAGCTCTCATGACAATGTGCTGACTGCATCTAGGTTGCCTGTCGAGCCAAACTCACGCAAGATTGAGCTCAACCCTCTGCAAAAGGCAATCGAGGAGATGCAAGAAAAGAATCGCGTCTTGCGCTCGGTCATTCACGCAGATAAATTGGATAGCAAGCTGCTGCAGATGCAATTGTCCGGCACCATCACGACGCAGGTTTGTCGACGAAAAAGCATTACCATGTTGCAGAGTGTTTGTGCTAGCTTGGCTGGTGTATGCTTGACGTTGTGATTTGTGAGCGAGGTGGAAAGCCGGTGACGCTGACGGATTGATGGGCTTGTCATAGGTGAACGCAGGGCCTTTGGAGTATGCGCGTGCTTTTTTGAATTTGGAGGAGAAGACTGGAGATTCAAGCACGGAGAAGCGCAACAAAGACCGTTTGTGTTACGAATTTGAGCAGATGGTGGATTTGCTTGAAGAAGGCGTGGTGCAATTTGATAAGATCAAGGCGGATGAGCAGCAAGAGCTCTACAACACTTACCGTGACCATCTGGCCCAACTCAAGAAGAACTTTGGCAAGTTCGTGCCAGCCATTCGCAAGCAGCAGTCCAGTGGGCGCCGAAGCTTGCGCAAAGCCTATTCCTTCCTTTCGCGCGGCCAGGGGCTAAACTTGACGGCGGCTGGAAGCGCCGGTCCTGCCGAAGCAACGGAGCAGCCTCCGGCTCCCGTGAATGAAACGGAGCTGAACACGTTTGCAGACCTGATTCCGGATGGCTGGACTCTGTAAGCGGACCCTGGCGCACCACAGTGGCTGGATGTCCAGGCTCGGAGAAATTCGAGAACAAGTGAGAGAATTGAGAGAAATGAGAATAGGGCGGGGGTGGAAATGGTGTGGAGCAGAGATATCGATGAGCGCCTTGTGACAATGTGTATGGCATGTGTGCATCCAGTCGCCACGTATGCTTTGCCTGATTTTGAAAGACATGTTCGGGTAAAAGGCCAGGTGGTGCACTGGGGCATCCACGTCCTTGTTTTTGTTTCTTGTCTTTTTTTGATTTTATTTTGTTTTGCAATGTTAACTCTTAAGTATAGTATTGAACCTGCCTTCTGTTATGTCCCGTCCCTGTTCCCTCCTCGCCCTTGGAGTGCTAGTAAAACCTTGGCCACTGCGTCGACGGTCGGTTCATACAATGGGCGACAGATGCATCGAGGCCGCAACAGTTTGAAAGCATGAAGCTGCTGATAATTGATGATTAAAGCAAGTCGAATGCCCCCTTGTACTTGTTTGGTTGGCTGCTCATTCGCTTCGTTGGAGATGTTTGAGAATGCGTGCTAGGAGGTTTCTTGAGCTTGTTTCCAAACTTGTCTGCAAAGCTTGCCATAGTTGCGCCACTGTGGTGGGCTGCAAGGTGACGTGTCGCGCCAGCGCGCGCAAATCGCGGCCAAAAGCACTCTCCGTCTGATCAAAAGTGTGGTAGCTGGCAGAATGCAAATGAGGGCCTTGTGTTGAGGAAGCAAGCAGGTGTTTAATTTGAGCCGGCCGGTGCCGGTACATACCGGAGGTCATAGTTGAGAGCACTGGCAGCCATCCACTGCAGCAAAGCCTTGAGTTGTCGATCGCCTCCAAATATACCTGGGGTCGACGAACGGGCGCAAGCAGCTTGAGATGGCCATACAGTAAGTGAGCCAGCAATCCATACGAGGCATTGGCCTGGACTACAACAGTTGGCATACCACAGCCCCAGTTGCCGGTGGCAATGATGCGTCGCTGAGGGTCGACTAGTCGGTCAGCAGCAACGTCAAAGGCGGCCGAGGCCTTGCGTAGTTCGCGAAGTTGGTGGGTGGTGGCGTATTGATCAAGACGATTCGTCATAATTTCCAGCGCGTCCATGGCCACCAGAATGGTGCGCGACGGAGTAGCTGGGGCCAAGGCACGGGACTTGAAGCGCAGGTTATTGCCAAACCTGAGCAGAGAGAGTTTGGCTTGAGAAGGCTGGCTGAAATGCACATGTGTAATCGATGGGCAGGCCAAATACAAGTACAGAAGGGCTGGCAAGACAAACCCGATGCCGTGGGCTGTGGTGAGAACACCATAAAATTGCAAGGCTTCATCTGGTTCTTGGAAGGGACAGATTGCGATGAAAGGCAAAAGTAGAGCGGCGGACGCCAGTCTATTCAGCAGGGACGGGGGACGATCAGTTGCGCGTGCTGGTGATGGTGTGGGCTCACAACTGGGGTGGCGAGGGCGCAAGACGCACCGGCACTCTTCCTGGGCATTGCCATCCCACAAAACGCCACCACCAAACGAGCAGTTGGCAAAGTCGACTTGAATGGCTGTGGGATCTTCCTCAATCAAGCCCGTATCGGTCACCTATTGTAGATGCAGCCCCGGTCAAGAGGCCAAAGTTGAATGGGGGCAGGAATGAGCGTACGGGCGGGACGACCTTGTTACCTCCAGCTGGCCGAGCTCTGCAGTTTGATGGGCCCAATCGTGCTCCGTCAAAAGGTGTGATGGGGTTGGTTGGCGGCAGACGCGATGTTGTCCAATGGGCGGGGCCGCGTGGTGGTTGTCGAAGAATGTCAATATCATCAGAAGCTTGGCCCGCTGCGCGAATCGAGCAAGCAGCACCACAAACATTCTGGGAATGAGATTTCTCTGCCAAGGCTAGGGTAAATGTTGGCACCCACTGGCTGAGCCATACTCGGTGAGCGAGGCGGGGGTAATTGCAAGCGCGCGGACGCACATCAGAGGCACATGGGCTGGCAAGCAGAAAGCTAAGGCCGTTCAGAGGGGGCATTTTGCAACCGATGGCAGCTTCGGTGGCGTCGGGCTCGGGGAGACCAGCAATAAACATCAGAGCTAGCATACAGGTCAGCTGGCAATTGGTCAGTTCGAGCTCGAGGCGATGGGGCGTGGTCGCTGCTGGCGCTGTGCTGGTGTTGCGAGCACAGAGGATGGGCATGTGCCCATCCGGAAAGTGGGACCCGAATTCAGTCGCGTAGCGCACGATGGCTCGCAAAGCCCGAGTGCCTCCATCCTCTAGCTGTGTAACGCACCACTCGAGACCCCGAGGTCTACTGCTGAGGCAGACGGGGGGACAGAGCAAGGCAAACGATCCCAGCCGGGTAGTGAGCGAGCTTCGGCACATTTGGGGATTTTGGGGAAACAACCTCAGCGGCGTCAGGTCTCGCACCCTTGATAGTCTGCCGGTGCCAAGCATCGTTGAAGTGTCACGATATCCTCAATGCTGCCATCGCCGTTGATTTGTTCCAGAGCACGTCCAAGCCGCTGAAGATCGACGGTCACCTGAGCGAGCTGCTCGCTTGCCGGCCGATCTTGATTGAACCACGCCATCCAGAGCGGTGCTGCAATAAACTGAAAAACATCGTCACAAAGTATGACTGTGAATATTATACGATCCACGAAAAGTTAGATTTTCTCTTCTTTTATATCATGTCAATCGGAGTGCTTTTATCGATTTTGGAAGCAGGTATGATGCTTATAACCCAACTATCAGAGAAAACGCAGAAACATTAAGAGACGCTGTGTTACTTTATGTAGAGAATGTATGGGTTTATGTAAAATATTCAGATATGCTCGTAAGAGATGGCCGATATGGCAGCGCCACCGCCACGGCCACTGTCACGGCCACTGTCACTGTCAACGGGTGTACCAGCGGCTCCTCCTCTGCAGTACACGTGATCAGAACCATGAATCCGCCTCCTAATACGAGGTGCAAGGCACTCCATCACTCACCATCACGCTGAATGATGATGATCGTCATCAGCAGCAGCACACACGAGAGAGAGAGAGAGAGTGTGTGTGTGTGTGTGTGTGTGCCCGCGAGTAATGAGAGAGATGTCAGGCGGTTCGGCACAGGCGGTCGTCGGGTGGTGCTATGGTGTTCCATAGGCAGGAGGAGGGGAGGACAGTGGCAGGTCCGTGGGGTGGGGGGGTTGAAGGGGTTTCAGGTAGTTGAAAGGGGTTTGTGTGTGTGTGTGTGTCATTTTTTCTCTTCGTCCTGTCCCTGCAGCGACTACCCCGGTCTCTGCCATCTGCCAACTGCCATTTGCCATTGGCCAACTGCCATTTGCCATTGGCCAACTGCCATCGCCAGCGGCTGGGGAACTGCTGCCAGATTCTTTGCGAGACGTGTGTGTGTGCTGGGGGAGACAATCGAGTTCCGCAGCGGATGTGGGCCGCTTGTTCAGCAGTAGGAAGAGTGACGCTGGGTCGCCGTTTGTGCGCTGCCGTTGTGGTGGCCGCATCCTGTCTGCTTCAACCCGTTGCGGGAAACAGCGCAGCCGCCTGTGTTGCAGGCATTGGTTGCCGCCAGCCCTGGTCCACAAGTGCCACACGCGCAATGTCGAGCCAGACGATGAAGGCCGTGCAGGTCGCCGAATTCGGTGGGCCTGAGGTCCTCCAGATTGCAGAGGTGCCTATCCCGCATCCCCGCGGTACTCAGGTTCTGGTCAAGCTGGGTGCAGTCGGAATCAATCCGGTCGAGGTTGGTGCGCGTGGATAGATGCCACTCCGTTTCTGCTTGGTCGACTGTTGGGCTCACCTTTCTCATGACATGCCTGTTCAGACTTACTTGCGGGCGGGCGCGTACGCTAGTCTGCCGCAGCTGCCGTTTACGCCGGGCAAAGATGGCGCCGGCGTCGTGCACGCCTGTGGCGAGGTGAGCTCCAGTTGTCTATTTGTAGCCACCGCGACCTGCCGCAGACCTGCCTCAGACCTGCCTCAGGCCAACTAACCAATCTCCATTCATGGCTCTGGATCTCGGCCTGTGAGTTTTGTTAGGATGTGAGCAAGTTTAAGCCAGGTGATCGCGTATACACAACGGGTAGCCTCACGGGCACCTACGCCGTGTACACGCTATGCACCGACGATCAGCTGCAGCCCTTGCCAGAGCGTATCACTCTTGCTGCGGGCGCGGCCATTGGCATTGCATACCGCACGGCCTACCGAGCCCTGTTCCAGGTATGCACATTACGAGATGCTTGGATCTACATTGATGATTCTTGCTTCGCTGCCGTTTTAGAGCTCACCATTGGTTGACCACAATGTCCCGCTCGATTCAGCGGGCCACTTTCAAGCCGCGCGATGCCGTGCTGATCCACGGTGGATCCGGTGGCGTGGGATTGGCCGCTATTCAGCTGGCTGCCATGCACGGGGCCGAGGTACGAGCCTTCCCGCCTTAGCTTCACGGGCTTTTCACATTGATTTCCTTTTGGGGCCAAGCACCGCTCATGACCAGGCCGGGCCCACGTGGTTAGGTTTTGGCGACGGCTGGCACGGAAAAGGGTTTGCAACTCATGCGTGACAGTGGTGCCCATCACGTCTTCAACCATCGTGAGCCAGATTACCTCAACGCGGTGCGTGTTTGGTTGGGTGAAGGGCTTTTGTGGGCCAGGACACCGTCCGAGTCTCATTGATCCCCTCCCACCCCGCCCACAACCTCCCCTTGTTTTTTGGCATGGTGTGGGGCATCATAGATCAAGGCCGCGACGCCCGGCAAGGGCATCAAACTGATCGTTGAAATGCTGGCCAATGTCAACTTGCAGCATGACCTTGACGTGAGCGATCAGTCCTGCTCGCCTTTTCCTGATTCGGAATACAATCCCTGTTCATGACTTTGGGCTTTTTTTTTTTTTTTTTTTTTTTTTTTTTTTTTTTTTTTTCTTGCAGTTGATCGGCCGCCACGGCACGATTGCCGTGGTGGGCAATCGCGGCGAGATCAACATCAACCCACGAACCCTTATGCTGGCTGAGGCCAACATTGTGGGTGTACTGGGCGGCACGCCCGACGAAATTTCCGAAGCCTATCATGCCATCAATGCCGGTAGGTCTTCATTTCAATTTACTGCAGGCCATCACACGCCGTCGCTCGTCCCTATTTTTTTTTTTTTTTTTTTTTTCCTTTTTGACAACTGTCGACCTTGACGTCTTCCCTGTCTTATTATTATTATCTTCAATGTCGCCGGCGGCGGACGCAGGTCTTGCAGTTGGGGCGCTCACGCCTGTCATAGGCCCCGCCTTTACATTGGAGCAAGCGCCCGAGGCGCACGTGGAGGTCATTGAGCACAAGCAGGGTACCTCGGGAAAAATTGTGTTGGTGCCTTCCCAACTCGATTCGAGTAACTAAGCGCCTCCACTGCCACGAGGCAGAACCAGTATTGGCCCCTGTCGTGTGGCGCGCTATGCCGTGTTGTAACAAATGGACGTGGCTGGTGCATCGGCACTGAATTGACGGCACATGATGATCAAGTATGGCAGGCCAAGATTGGCCAAGAGGGTTTGTGCTGCGAGCATCATGCAAAGCGCAAAACAAACGAAAAAGCAAGCATCCGTCTCTAGCCTAGAAAGCTTGAAAAGCGCATCTCGGGGCTCCGCAGGAGCTAGCCAGGCAAGAGCCACCCATGAAATATACAAAGGCGAGGCAACCCACGCCTGTAGAGTGGTGTGCCGCACACACACACACACACACACACACACACACACACACACACACACACACACACACACACACACACACACACACACACACACACATCCACAAAGACAGATTAGGCTGATGTGAGCTCGGGAAGCTCATCCAAGCGATGCTGGTGGGTGGCAACCAGTTCATCCCAAATCTGTGAGGAACACGTAGGGTGGGCCGATGAGCACCGATTAGAGTTGTCGCGTCGGCGATTGCGGGATAAATCGACGCACCTGCTGGCGCTCGCCATTGGTCTTTGCACCTGGAACCAGCCCAGATTCGACGGTGGCAGTGGAGCTGAAGCGAAACTCATGAACCTGGAAGAAACGGGGACACACAGTGAGCGCAGGTCTGGCACACACAAATGGCGGGCAAAGGCGATGGACTAGCTAGTACACACGTGTTGACCATCGTCCAGCGGGCACACGGCTTTGTCATTGAAGTAAGTCGGAGGACCGCTTTCTAGGAGGCGTCTCAAATTGCGAGCACAGTCGGCCTACCCGCAAGCAAGGGTTGGCCGTGAGCTTTGTCGGCCTCTGAAAGCGGCGGGCACCGCATCATTGACGGTGCGGCACAGTCTGCCCAACAGTGGAGCCCTTGGCAATGCGATATGGCGCACGCATGCGCAGGCAGAACGGGGAGGGGAGGTGTGGAGGCGGACCTTTTGCACAGCTTCAAAGTAGCCACTATATGCGGCATTGATGTAGGTTCTCAGGCAGCT